TGACTATTTCCACAGATCTCTAAACCTGATCAGCACTTGCCTTTTCATGCACTTGAAAAGACTTTGCTACAGATCCCAAAGGGTAGGAAGAAGTTCCTGCCACCCATGTTGCAGGGTTAGTTAGAAAAGATAGTTGAAAAGGCAAAATAGTTGAAAAACAGGTGTCATCAAAAAGCATAATGGAGCATGAACCAACAAAAAGGCTTCAAGCTCCACAGTGGCATGATACACTTTTGCTATTTTCTTCTACTGATAGACATGGAAATAGTGCTTGGGTGAAGAAAACCCTGGGCTGGGCAGCCTGGCAACCCAGACTGCCATGGCCTGGGAGCCCATGCAGTCGGCTCAAAACCCAAAATCAGGTCTTCCAGAACTCACCAACAGAAAAGATTGTTACCAAAAAGCCTCTTTCTGCTACAAAGCCAGGAAAGCTGGCAGATCTCCCAGTAACTGTTTTTTCCTGAAAAGGTGGTGTTCTGAGAAGTCTCATCACAAAATTATCAACCTGGAAAACAATCATGCACAGAGGAGCCTGACTTGATGTGGGGTGACAGGTACACATCCACTCAAAACCACACCTTTCTCCAGCACAGTTACAGCTGAAATGTTGGCACTTCTCTTTGCCTCCCAGATTTACAACAGACTACTTGTTGTCAGTGTGGCAAAGGGCATTCATCATCTTCAAACAAGCACAAAACACAAGTTTGCCAAACTGACAGCTAAGCAGCAGATACACGTGACCACAGCAGCTGTTCTGCACTAGAACAAACTCAAAACCAGGTAAACACCCAGTGAGGTGCCGGCCACACTTTGAAAACCACATTCATACTTACTATTCCTTAGGCAAGTCCCCTCCTGCACCCACATGCTGCAGACTGAGTACTAACATGTCCAGGCACTCCAGGAGGCCTTCCAGGGCTTAACAGGGATGTGGCTCAGTTACAGTGATTTCAGGTGGACGTTTGGAATCAGAACACATCTTAGGCGAGAAGAGGCTGAGGCAGCAGGGACTGATCAGCCTGGAGAAGAGGAAGCTCATGGGGAATTTCATCAGTGTCTGTAAATACTGAACGGGAGATGTAAAGAAGGCAGCAGTAGATTGTTTTCATTGGTGCTCTATGCCAGGACAAGAGGTTGTGGGGAAAATTTGAAATACAGGAGGCTCTATCTGAACATCAGGAAGCACACTTCTGTGCCTTGAGGGTGGTGGATCACCAACACAGGTTGCCTAGAAAGGGTTTGGAGTCTTCCTCCTTGGAGATCTTCAAAAGTTACATGAACATGGGCCTCAGTACTCTGTTGTGGGTGTGCCACTTAAACAGGGTTTGGACCAGGTGGCCTCCAAAAATCCCTTCCAACCTCAACTCTGTGGCTGTGCCCCCATGCTGCGTTCTGTGCAAAGGTGCCCAGAAGGCTTTTAGACTCCCAGAAAATAACAAGTTTGATTAAAATATCAATGGTGATGATTACCTTCCTACTATTATTTCATACTTGCCATTTCATTACTGCTGCAACAGATCCATCGCAATCAAGAAAGCTGGCCCACTCCATTTAGTATTTTGTCAAAGGCCAATCCTGAATGTTACTCTACAGGAGGGGCAACTCAAAATCAAATGCAAGCGAACATCTAGTGAGAAGACAACAATGCTTTGAAAGCTGTGACCCCACTTCACAAGCTTACTAGTGATTCACCTCTTGTATTCACACACTACAAATCACAAAATGACATGGCAGGTTGTTCAGGAGAGCTGCCAGGTTTTCCAGGAAGCACAAACACCATGACTCAGCTGAAGGATTGAAGTAACTGGATCTCATTGTTCAACCATACTGACTGCAGCCAAAAAAAAAAAAAAAAAAAAAAAAAGAAAGTTGAAGGCTTTTCAACTCTCATAAAGTAGGCTTTAAAATGCTGCAGGTGATGACAGTTATCTTTGTCCGTATAAATAAAGCAATGAAGTTAAACAGAACAGAAAAGCCTAAGTAGAAAAGCCTAGACATGTAACCATATCCTTTCAGCAGATCTTCCCAGCCAGACCCATGCTGTGAGCTCCTGAGCTGCCAAAACCTCTCCCTGCTCCACCCTTGCCCCTAGAAATTTCACTCCAACCTCTTGAAGGCCTACCCACTGCTGGCCACACCTTGCTTCTCTCCAGAGGCAATGACCCTGCATGCCCCGCATCCAGGTAGACCCTGAGTGACCCAGACACTTCCCAGTTGGCACTGCCTTCTCAAGGAGAGCCCCCAGTATGCACAGAGAACAGTTCATCCCCTATTACATCGGGAGGCACAGCTGGGGTGCAGCAGAAGGAAATGTGACACCTGTGTCTGTGACTGCTCCTCCCCAGGCTCCTTGTACCAGCAAAGCTAGTCCACATGTTAAACAAGCAGGAGGTAGTGTGAGAATTACTCCTGTACTCATATCTTACTGTCCAGACTTATCTTAAGAAGAAAGTTCACACATAGTTGTCACATTAAGGATATAAGTCTAATGCATGGCTAGCTAGGGAAGCTCTCCTGCTGAGTTGGAAGGCTCAGAAAGGAGCTCTTGCTTTATAAACTCCTTCTCAGAGAGCAGTCTAGGTGGGCTAGGTCCAGTCTTAGTCCCATGCTTGGTCAGAGGTTTTTTTGTCTAAGGATAATGTGTACAACCACTTATCTTTACTGAAACAACATAAGGCAGTGAGGCCTCCACCTCATCCCAGGTGTCACTCAGTCACTGTAGCCGCCGGGCCTTATCTGAGCGTTAAACTGCACACCTCCACATCTGTCAACTGCTTTGGCAAGATAAGCAAGTTACTCAACTGCCACCTTGGCTAAGACCAGTGCAAGATAAGCATGTTAGTTAAATCACATTCTTGTTCAAACCAGATTCAATTCTCTAACCTCAATCTCTCAATCTCTAGATTTCAACCTTTCGGCTTTTACAATTATGGGTCTATCTGACCGGTAAATACTGAAGTTTGCATATTATATATTGATCTGTATGGAGTCATCCAGTAATCCAGCAGTCCCATTCCACTCAATGCACCTGTCATTTGTTTGCATATTATACCAGTCACCATGCTAAAATTTTGGTTTCTAAATTTTTTTCAATATTGATAACACAATAACTTCAACCATAAATATCAACAGTCCTTGAGGATGCTCTAGCTCAATGTAGATAAACCATCATCCCAGGTACAGGTTCTTGGCATTGGTTTTCCTATAAAGTACAAAGAGAAAATACTCATTCATAATACGACTGATTTTAAGTTAAAATTTGTCTCCTGTAGCCACTTCCAATGCCACAGTTTAATAATTCCAGTCATTATTTTGCCTGTAAGATTTTACATTGGTGAGCCGTATCCCCATCGGTCATTGCTTTACCTCAGAGTAGGTGCTTCCTGAATAAGAAAGTTTGCTTGACAGCATTTGAAATAGCAAAGTGCTATCTATCTATATCTTTCTGCAATTTAGACACTCTACCTTCTGTAATAAGTATTGTTTCATTGATGTCTTCCAAATGGACATACCATTTACAATCTGTAGATTTCTGGGCCATGTTTCTTGGCAGTGTTGTAGCCTTGCAAACAGTATGTATCCATCTTCAAGAAGGGCCGTAAGGAGGATCCGGGGAACTATAGGCCTGTCAGCCTGACCTCGGTACCGGGGAAAGTAATGGAGCAAATCATCTTGGGGGAGATTGCACGGCATGTGCGTGGTGTCCAGGGGATCAGGCCCAGCCAGCACGGGTTCATGAAAGGCAGGTCGTGCTTGACCAACCTCATCTCCTTCTACAACTGGGTGACCAGACTGGTAGATGAGGGATAGGCTCTTGATGTAGTCTACCTAGACTTCAGCAAAGCCTTTGACATGGTCTCTCACAGGCTTCTTCTGGGGAAACTGGCTGCCCGTGGCCTGGACAGGTACACACTCCTTTGGGTAAGAAACTGGCTGGAGGGCCGTGCTCAATGGGTGGTGGTTAATGGAGTGAAGTCCAGCTGGTGACCTGTTTCAAGTGGTGTCCCCCAGGGGTCAGTACTGGGGCCTATCTTGTTTAACATCTTTATTGATGACCTAGATGAGGGGATTGAGTGTACCCTCAGTAAGTCTGCAGATGACACCAAGCTGGGAGGTGGTGTGGATCTACCTGAGGGTATGGAGGCCTTTCAGAGGGACTTAGATAAGCTGGATCACTGGGCTAAAGTGAATGGGATGAGGTTCAACAAGGCCAAGTGCCAGGTCCTGCATTTTGGCCGCAACAACCTCATGCAGTGCTATAGGCTTGGGGATGAGTGGCTGGATGATTGTGAAGAGGAAAGGGACCTGGGGGTGTTGGTTGATGCTCAGCTGAACATGAGCCGAGAGTGTGCCCAGGTGGCCAAGAGGGCCAGCGCCATCGTGGCCTGCATTAGAAATAGTGTGGCCAGCAGGAGCAGGGAGGTGATCATCCCCCTGTACTCAGCACTGGTGAGGCCGCACCTCGAATATTGTGTTCAGTTTTGGGCCCCTCACTACAAAAAAGACATTGAGGCCCTGGAGCGTGTCCAGAGAAGGGCAATGAAACTGGTGAGGGGTCTGGAGCACAAGTCCTTTGAGGAGCAGCTGAGGGAGCTGGGATTGTTTAGTTTGGAGAGGAGGAGGCTCAGGGGAGACCTCACTGCACTCTGCGGCTTCCTGAGGAGAGGTTGTGGTGAAGAGGGGTTTGGCCTCTTCTCCCAGGCAACGAACAGGACCCGGGGAAATGGCTGCAAGTTGTACCAGAAGAAGTTTAGGTTAGACTTAAGGAAGAACTTCTCTCAGAGAGTGGTCAGGCACTGGAATGGCCTGCCAAGGGAGGTGGTGGAGTCGCCATCTCTGGCAGTGTTTAAGAGGCGTCTGGATGAGGAGCTGCAAGATATGGGTTAGTAGCTTGTGGTAGCAGTGGCAGTGTGAAGACAGTTGGACTAGATGATCTTATAGGTTGTTTCCAGCCTTGTGATTCTATGATTCTATGATTCTATGATTCTATGATGTAGGAGATGTATCCCCAAACAATTACACAGTCTTGATCTTACCTGTTCCACGTATTTCACCACTTACACTAGGGTCAGCAAGATACAGCTCCTGTTGTTGACTATTGCCTGGAGTCTTCTGACTGCCTTTTGATCCATCTCCATAGAGTTGGTGTAAGAGGCTGTTTTCTCCAGAGGCAACAAAGTGTTAGCAATCCCAAAATGTGTTGACATCAACAGCCCTACACGGGTGAGTCCATAGTCTATGTTCCATCACTGATAACCCACACAGTGTGTCACAGAGGGTATGCTGATTTCTGAACATATCAGATGAGATATCATTGCTAACCAGATGACACCAAGTGTCATTGACTGAGGTGGTAAGTAGGCAGGGGTCAGTAACAAGCAAGGAGTCTGTAGCAAGATAAGCAAAGGCACAAGATGCCTAAGGTAAGGCGCTGACATGATATCATGTTCATAGTACTTTCCATAGATATCCATGTTTTTTTTGTAGGAATCACCAATAAAACATTACCAAAGGTAAATATACAGGTAAAGGTAAAGGGCAGTAAGATCAGTGTTCTGAACTAAAAAGGTGGGTTAATTTGCCCAAATGTAAGGAGAGAGGCTGTAGCCTAGACTAGAGTAGAATGGGGTTGTGGTGAGGAAGGGAAGTTATTGCCCAGTTATCCAGTTCTCTACAGCAGCTTCTTGTACTGCTGTCCAGAGAAAGAACGCCACTCACACCTGCCTGGGGTGACAGAGCAAGGAAGGGGTCAGGCAAATAGATGCTGCCTTTTTAATTGCCCCAGGAGATGATTCCTTTTTCAACTAAAATGTGTGTCTGGTGTCTGAATTTATGTCTGTTTTTATTCTTGCCTGAACGCAGAGAATTTAGAAAAAGTTGAAAGAACTTATGTTGAGAAGTAGTTGGACTCTGTGATTGTGCCAACACATGTAGAATAGGAACATGTGGGAAAGTGAAAGGAACATGGGGGAAAGAATTCAATCCATAATACAGAATTATGGTGGGAAGCATTTAAAAAGCACAGCAAAAAGACATGCGATTTTATAGGTGATTAGAAAATTGGTTCTGAGAAATGAGATAATGTTATGGTTCAATTAGGTGCTGAAAGCCTCTAGAGTACAAGAGGCAGGGGCCTCCTGTTTGCCTAGGGAGATAAAACCCACTGCAAACTTGGAGCCATGCTTTGATGCTTAACATGAAGTCTCTGAACCCATATAAATAAATGACATCACTCTTGGAAGTGGTCAGCATACATAGCAGCTGTTGAAATGCATTCAGATACCATAGTGACAAGCACAGTCCAGGAAACAAAACTAACTGGAGCCATAAAAACGAGAACCAAGGTGAACCCTTGCTATTTCTCGTTTGGCAACCCTCCCTTTGAATTTTATGAGTTTCACCTCAGCCCCTTATGTAAAGTAGCCCTTTGCTGGATCTGTCTGACAGCTGTGTAGCCTGCCCCTCATACTGAGGTAGAGTGGCTGTATGAGGCTCCCTGCAGACTTCACACATCAGAACTCCAAGTGTGTACTGACCCCTCATCAGGTGAGTTGATCAGACTGAAGCACTCCTGCAGGCAAGCTGTGATTACAGCCCCATTTTTGCAGCCCCTGGCATCCTGCTGATGCTAGCCAACAGTTCAGCTGAGCGCAGAGAACCAACGGCCTTGAACACCTCCAGTGATCCCACAGGGAGTGATTCAGGAACAAATACTTCTGCAAAGACAGGGGATGCATAAACTAGGTAAAGAGAGGCTCTTGCTCCCTTTTAATGAATTCTTCTGAGCGGCGGTGAATCTGATTTTTTCTAGGAATAAAAGATGGAAGTTTTAGACCTTTTGTCTCTGCTTGTAACTGAGGATATCTGCACAGGACACCTCCTGCAGCAGTTCTCCCACTATTCTAAAGGCTCACAGCACTTCAGGAGAAGGCACGCGAAGCACTGACTTCACCACTGAATAAGGCATTTCCACTTCAACAAAAAAATAAATGAATAGAAAAATCCTTGGCAGCCAACCAAAACCTCAAAATCATGGGCCCCACGCCTTACGAAATCCTGGAGGAGGCGGAGAGAAGGGCGGAGGCTGGCTGGGCCAGGCTTTTTTAAGTGCCTGGGGGTGGCAATGGGCATGCAGAACCAGGAGGTGGCCAAGGGAGACAAGTGGGGACAGGATGGCAGTGCCTTGCATGGAGCTGAGCAACAAGATGAAGATGCCCATCCTGGGGCTGGGCACCTGGCAGGTAGTGGTGCTGTGATTCTTGCGGGTGCTGCAGGGGTTAAAAGGAGAAGGTGGGGGGATGAGGGGGTGCAGAGCAGGGTTGAAGTGACAAAATATTAAAAAAACAGGTTCTGGAGGGCTGCCTCACTGGCGTAACTGGGCAGATGGACTGTCAGACAGCAGGCATGGGGCAAGAGGGGGGAAAGTGAAAAAAGGTGGCAAAAAAGTAAAACGAGAGTAGGAGGAGAAAGTCCAAATAAAAGGGAGGAGCAGGGAGGGGGAAAAAAATGTGGATTGCAAAAGACTTCCTGTCCTGGTGCTCAGAACTGTGTGATGGGGCTGCAAGTGACAAAATTCCTTGGGTCACACTGGAGGGAAATGATACTGTGTTAGCCTACTAGAAAGGGCAGGGTCAAAATTGTAGAACCAGAGACTCATAGGGGCTGGAAGAGACCTCTGCAGATCATCAGGTTCAATCCATCTGCTAATGTCTGGCAGAAATTAACTTCTTTCTGTTCCACTCCCAGTGCTGCAGTCCTTTCCCTACAAAAAAGGGGAAGTTAAAATTCAGTTTAAATGCTGGTGATGGGGAGCAGCAGCTGTACAGGGAGACTTCAGGGAGCTGTCACAGTGGGTGCTGGCCAGTGGCAAAGGGAAGGTTCATGGTATGATTGTGCTTGTTTTCAGGCTCCTCCAGGGAAGGTGGAAGAAGTGGTGAAACACGCTATCGATGCTGGCTACCGCCACATCGACTGTGCCTATTTCTACCAGAATGAGCATGAAATAGGGAATGCAATCAAGCAGAAGATCAAGGAAGGGGCTGTGAAGCGGGAAGACCTCTTCATTGTCACTAAGGTACAAGGATGCAGGAATGTTGGTGCATTTAAGTTTTCTCGCAGATAAACCTTTCTTTCATCTATAAAGTAATCTAAGGGCTTGTTCCCTTCTCCAGTGTTTATTTCATGACTATGGGCTATGAATTCAATTCTTTATTTCAATTTTGACTGAAGTTTATTAGGAATTAGTGAAAACTTTGGAAAAATAGGATGGTTGTTGCCATCATCATAACAATTTTATTGCATCTCATGAGGGTTCACATGTATGCCCTCTAGAAAGATCAGGAAAACAAGACAAATCAGATGTTTGAATTCACAGACATTGTACTACTTATTGGTGTGCAAGACATATCATGCAGAAAATGTAGGCCTGAAAGTGAACAGAAGTTACAGTATGGAACTTAAATCTGAAGCAGTTTGTGTTTATGCTCTCATTCTTCATCTCATTCACTTGTTTCAGCAATGTTGACTACCACAAAATGAGAACACATCAACTAAAAAACTTCTGACTTCTGGGTTTTCTAGCACAAAGCCGTAAAACACTGAGCATAGATAAGCTGTTCCACATACTCTTCATTTTTGTTAAAGAATAATTTTTAATTTGAATAATACTTGTAAGTTCTACTTAAACAACTTGAATTTTCATTTCAAAAGTAATTAAGGAAAATTCAAAGCAGTCCTCACTGTGGTCAGATCAAAGGAACAGAAAGAGGATAGCTATATGATGCTCATGAAATTGCTCTGTAATAAAATAAGTGTATATAAATAATCTGTAGCAGTAGAAATTTTGCTGTGTCAAATACACTTTTTCATTTGGTTCTGAGAATCTCTTGATTATCCATCTGATTGTCCATCTTCACTACTAACTTTTTTACTTGTGTTATATTTGTCGTATCCTACCGTTAAAATATTAGCATCCTTGTCTTCAGTGAGCACTCAGTGGATGGGAAGGCAGTTGTCTTTCCTGACCAGCAAGGGAGAGTTTCTTGTCCTCTGATCTGGATGGTGAAAGTTGTAGAGTCACAGTTGAGTTTGGTTTCTCCCCACAGTTGTGGAACACATTTCACGAGAAGTCCTTGGTAAAGGAAGGGTGCAAAAGGAGCCTCACTGCACTGCAATTGGACTACATTGACCTCTACCTAATGCACTACCCTATGGGATTCAAGGTAGTCTTGCTCTACATTCCTCTTTTCTCCTTACCTGGGTGGAAATAGTTCATTCTCTCTATTATGCTGTGGCTTACTTCGTTACACAGTTAGGATGTGCTACAGTTCATTTTTCTCCTCTTTAAATCTGACAGAAGCAAGCATTCAGTTAGTAACTAAGCAGTGATATGTTTGAAAGCGTGGGTCTGGCTGTCCATTTTTGTTAGAGTGAGATAGCTGTGGTTAGAAGCCCTGCTAATGACCTCTTTAGGTCTTCAGAGAAATTGTAACGAGTGCATGAGGGTGCAGTTCGGGATCATGACCTTCTACTGGGCCAGATCTGTGTTTAATCTCAGCTAGAGGTGTTGGCTTGAATTGGAGTAATCAACCGTGAAAAAACACACATAACACAGAAAGAACGTGTTTCTCTTTCACCCAGCCTGCATCAGTGTAAAATAAATAGAAACTCTAGAATAAAGGTAGAGGTGGGTCTGTTCCCTTCACAACAGACCTACTTAAACCATTAAGATGTTTACTGCTAATCCCTGTCTCTTTGTAATTATGAATCTGTAGAAGAATGGCTCTCATCCAAGAGAATACTGATGATTATGAATCATTTTTAGTTATGTGATATGTTTAAAGAAACTGCTAAGTTCTGATCTGTAATTCCGGTCACAAATCTAGCATATGGTTGAAAATTCAACTCAAGTGTCTGTGACTTCTGCCTTGAAATTACAGGCTGGTGAAGAACTGTTGCCTGCAGATGACAAGGGTATGATTATTCCCAGTGATACAGATTTTCTGGACACATGGGAGGTAAGTTAATATTTGGTCTTCTGTGTGGGTGTCTAAACTAAATACATCAGAGATGTGCATGCATAATGAAAGTAAGGAATAGGTTTGGGCACAGAGGATAGTCACACAGCATTATATTTTATAACCACAACAGCTACTTCCTCTTCTTGTTTTGAGTAACTAGAAGGGTATGTCTTTACTACAAATAAAGAGGAGAAACCTATCAGCACTCTGGATGCTATCACTAAAATAGCATTTAAATATGCACAACGGTAGATCTGAGGTATAGATTAATACACGTGTGGCTGTTAATTTACTGTGAGTTTCATACAGATAAGAATTCTTGCACTTTTCAGCAAAGGGCATCAGCATCCTTCAATTCTACTTTCCTTGTGGACTGAGAGGATTCAGAATCTGCTCCTGCTACCTGTAACACAGTGATGCTGTGGCTCTGGGAACTCAGTTTTTCTCTGCAACATTAGAGTACAAGTTCAAGAAAGTATGTTGCAATCAGCTTATGGCTAACATCCTCCCTGTCATGTCCTGCCACTGCAGAGGTAGCATGGTGGCTCAGGATGAGGTGGAAGCATTTCCTTTCCTTTTTCAGCTCTAGCTGGAAAAGATTCTCAGACTAGACTCTCAAACTAGACTTTCAGAGGAGCCTAAGCAAAATATTTGTACCCTGTTAAAAGGTTGGCCAACTCATTCTTATGCTACTTTCCCATCTGCAGTATGATATAAAGTACTCAGATAATACAAGATACAAAGATTTTCCATTTTTAAATTGAATGTACCATTGTTAAATCTATTGTGAGTTGCTTGCTGGTTTCTCAGTAACTTTAGTGAAATAAAATATCGTGGCTGACAGTTAATACCACCTCATAAGTAAACATTTGTTGTCCTCCTCTTTAGGCCATGGAAGAGCTGGTGGACTGTGGCATGGTAAAAGCCATTGGAATCTCAAACTTTAACCATGAGCAGATTGAGAGAATCTTAAACAAGCCAGGATTGAAATACAAGCCTGTAGTTAACCAGGTAAGACTTTGATTTTTATTCCTAAATATGTTCAAGCTATATTTCAGCTCTTAAAGCTGTTTTCTGCCATGACTTTTTAATAGTTTGGTGCCATGAAAAGATCTCACAAAGCAGTAAGGTACCTTTCATTGTCTGAAAGATCCTCCAGGTCAGTGCTGCCTGAAATATGCAGGGCTTCACTACAAGTGAATTTCACACCAGTGCTAATGGTTTTTACCTGACAGAGGTCTCGAAAGAAAGGTTGGTTTTTTTTGTTTTTTTTTTTTTTTTTGTACACTTGCATGTGTGTAATGCTGTGGACATTTGAGAATAATACCATGTAAAACATGAACAGTTGGGCTTATTCATACCACAGTAATAGGAAACAGATGAGAACATTTCATTCTTAAACATCAAAAAACAGTGAAAATATCTGTGGCCTTGTGTAAGTCCTTGCAATTTTCTGCTGTATGTCCCCTTTCACACTCCCAAGTACTGCTCACATCACAGCGCAAGTTGTCACAGGCCCAATTCTGCCAGCTCAGGGATAACCAGCCAAATCTTCAGTGCAAGCTACTGCACAAGTGTGGCAATGTACAGGAATGCCTTAGCACATTCACTGGATTTATTTATTTTTCAACATAAAAGAAAACACTTCACGAAAATTAATTTTAAAAAGCAGGCTTGAAGCAAACATTTATATCATGTTCACGGATTCAACAAACTCAAAAGTCCTTTTTTATGTGGAAAAATATTCAAGCAGCACTGTGGAAATACATTGTTTTTAAAGCACTGGCTTCACACTGAAGAAAATAGGAAAGCTTATGCACCTGTAAAATATTATTAAACTTTATATAATGCTTCTGTAAGGAGGGATAAGCAAGAACATCCTGGCTTTGTTTTGAGTAGGATTTTCAGAAGCCAAGGAACATATTGCAGCAACATTCTGAAGGTCAGAGAGCCCACAGCAAAGCAGCAACAAGGATGTGTGCTTGTTTGTGTGTTCTGCACATCATCTAGAAAATATCCAGAAAGGCTAAGCTAGGGAAGCTCATGCCCCCGGGCTTCTCTGGGAACCAGGCAGACTCCCTGAGGAGAGAGAGGATGGCTCAGAGAAGAAACTTCAGGTGTTCTGAGCTGCCCCTCTGGAGATGCAGTACTGTTCTCCCGATTAGTTCAGGAAGACTGATTTGCCAAATTTTTGTTACACATTGCTGTGATGTGAATGACTTTCAAAGATCTATTTTAATAATAAACCTGGGAGTCTTTTCACATTATCTGTGACTCAAGAGGAGGTAAAATGTTATGCTCTGGAGGCCAGTGCAGACTGCCTCCGTGCCAACCACCATGTTGCTGTGCTTGCAGATCGAGTGCCATCCATACCTGACCCAGGAGAAGCTGATCAAGTACTGTCACTCTAAAGGAATCGCCATGACTGCATACAGCCCCCTGGGCTCTCCTAATCGGCCATGGTGAGAAAGCATGGCACCCTCTCCACACAAAAGACTGCCACTTGCAACTAGAATCTTCGCAGCAAAATATCTAAATGATGCAGCTACAATGAGAAAACTGCTGTTGCTTTGTTGCAAATCCTTTCTTCCTGCAGAGACACTAATACATCTCCATCTTCAATATCCTGTCTTGTGTTTTCAATAGGGCCAAGCCAGGGGAACCTATGCTGCTGGAGGATCCTAAGATTAAAGAGATTGCAGCAAGACATCATAAAACCCCTGCCCAGGTAAGAGGTGTTGACAGAGCAAACTGCTCATCTTCACAAAGAATCGTTGAAACTTGCTCATTTATGCAAGGTGATTTTTTTTCTTCTTTGCTAGTCCCTCTAAAGAGATCTTGCCAATGGTGGACAGGAACTGTGCTTCAAACAAATCCATTATGTTTACAGGCAATCAACCATAGTCATATTTTAACAAAGGCAGAGCAGGAAAAAAATGTATCCAATAGTCTATCAATGAGAGGGGAAAGTTTTAAATATATATATATATATATATATATATGTATATATGTATATATATATGTGTGTATATAATTTAAAGACTTGAAAAAGCTTTGTGTAGATGAGGTACTTACTTGTGAGGCAAAATAATCTGCAGTATTGTGCTTATCTGGCCTGAGCACCCATGTAACACAAGCCAGAAACAACATTGTTTTTTCTCCCCTCCACAACCCAAAAAGAAAGAAAAATTCTTGAGAAGCAAAGCTGTAGAAACAGCATAAACCAGAAACAACTGATAATTTTCTCATTAGACCATAAATAAATGCTGGATCATCATAACTGGCCTGTGCAAACTTGGAGTATTCCAAACAGTGAATATGGTGTAGAAAGAAGAATCTGTTTGTGAATAAAGGGGGGAAAGAAGCAGGGGGGAGAGGAAAAAAATACACAAAATGCATTAGAATAGCTTCATTGGCAACTCTGTCCTTGTAATCCTTGTTCTTTTCTAGGTTCTGATCCGATTCATTATCCAAAGGAACTTGGCTGTCATTCCCAAGTCTGACAAACAGCAGCGCATTAAGGAGAACATGCAGGTGAGGCATCCATTGGGACTACTACAACCATAGCTGTAGCTCCTGTGTGTTTCCAACAATTGGTGGGAGAGGCATTGGAAGGGGAGCGCAAAAATGTAGAGATCAGGGCCTAGCACTACCTACCCAGGCAGAATTCTTTTTTTGGGGAAAAAAGCATCTTGTTCCTGTCAAAAGAGAAATGGGTTACAACAGGAAGGTTGGAGATCTAGAGTGCTGGAAGTGGAATCCCAGTTTAGGTCTTACTCTCAGAGATCCTTATTAAGCCCATTTTTCTGGGGCAAAAAGGAAGGAACTGTAAACATCAGACCCAGTAATCATTTGTCTCATTTTGAGGCTGCGGTTCCTCTTGGTGGTGAGAGTCAGCTGGATGCTTGCTCTGAAGACCTGCCATCTTAAATTGTATCTCTGTTACTTTCAGTTCATGCTGCAAAATTTGGACTCATTTCTCCTGTTAACCATCAGCAAAAATCCTTAGATGACATTTACTGTGAGATAATGATCTGCAGTTGGTACCCAGGAGTCCTCTGTCATAGCAGAAATATTTACTGACAGCTCCAGTATTTGTGACGCATGGAGTAATCTGCACTTAGCACCTAAATTCTCTGTTGATGCATTACAATGCAAATGGAAGTGGTGTTTGCATTCAATCACCTAGAACTATGAGACATTGCTATGAACAGCACTTCAGAGAAAAGGACTAATTAGTAAACTGTTGTTTGGCTGTGAAATGAGGATTTTCCAACTACCCCTAGTGTGCATCCAGTATATTCCCAACTGAGGTTGTAACAAATGAAGGAAGCACACAGTATCCAACTACTTATGAACCTAAATAAAAAGAGCATTTTCTTGTTTATTTTTTTTTCCACTAGGTGTTTGACTTCGAGCTGTCTAAAAAGGAGATGGATGTCATCCTCAACTTTAACAGGAACTGGAGAGCAATTCCAGTGCCACAGTATGTTCCTTATTATCTTTATTATCCATCAGGCCAGTCAGTCTCTGTGTTTTGATACCCTGCATCTTGAAAGCATGCATAACCAAACTGAGAGGGCTCTCATGTAAAACTCTAAAGGTCAGGTAATAAGACATTTCCTGGAATGGACACTAGGAGGAAGAGTCATTCAGGGCCTTCCATTCAGTATCTTGTTGCATATGCTTGTTCTCAAGCCTGTATTACTACTAATGACAGCTACCAGCTGCAAGTCTTGCATACGTTGGCAGTGAAGAATGGAGACTACAGTAGGGAAATGCAGCTGAAGACACCTGATCCAACATTTACTTAAATAACCAAGTTCTTTCTCTTCTTAGGTCTGCGAATCACAAGGACTACCCATTCAATGCAGAGTATTAACACCTGCAGTTTCAGCAGCACCTCCGTGTACCTCCCTCCGGATTAGATGTCTTCTATAGCTGAGTCCTGATTTCTTCTTTTGTACTCAACAGCCATTGGGAGTGGTCACTTGTCCTCCTTTTTCAGGAGGACACCAGTAGCTGGTGAAAGAATGCATCAATGGGAATGGGTCTTTTGTTGAGAGGGTTAGCAGAAATCTGGTTTTACTTCTTTTTTTTTTTTAACTCAACATTCAACTCAACTTTTTTTCTGTTTTTCCTTCTCTTGCTTAACTGAAAACATGTTTAGCAAATGAAAAAAACCCTTGTAAGTAACCAGATTTTTTATGTTGTTTTCAGTGCGGTAAGTCTTACTGGCTCATGAGTGGCTGTTGAGGAATGCGGTGCTTATTTACTTTGCTTTTTATGTAGTTGTGATTTTTACAGTATGAATAATTAATGCTTTAAAGTTTTATATGAATAAAGATTGAATAAAAGCAAACAAAAAAAGAAGTCTGAATAACCGACCACAAAACTTCATCAGTCTGACACTTAGATTTTTCTCATGTAGTCAATTATAAAAACACGCCTGAAGTCTGGTTTTCAAATTTTAATACAGGAAGGAAAGGCTCCTATGGTTCCTGTCCCAGGAACTAATTTGGGACTTAGGTATCAAACAGGCTGAGCTGTACCTGAAATGGACCTTCCTCTGAACAACCAGAAATCAACTTTTCGTACAATTAAAGGAGGAAAAAGGGAAGACAGAAACATAGGCAGTGATAACTCACAAGAAAATACACCCAGCAGAACACAGATTCTGAAAATCTCAAACAAAATTAGATTTTTGCAGTTCTGCTGGTAGCATTCAGCAAGCAATATATCCAAACAGGATCTTGCTTTATCTAAGATAAATATAAAAACACATATATTTTACTTAAAAACACCAATGCAAGTACTGAAGTAGACTCAAAACTGCTTTAAATGTTTTCAGATAGATGATACTAGACAAAGCAAAGGCTGAATTTAAAAGTCTGTTCTGTGGCATTCAGCACGCTGACAACAGGAAGTCTGACTGGGATGCCAGGTGAGCCACAGTAAGGCATGAGTTAAGGTGCCAATTGGGTAGTGTCTCAAAAATCATCTCCTCACCATAGCATCAAAATACCAACACAACATGCAATGCCACTGACCCATCACAGGGATTTCTTTGCAGCAGATGCCATGGGGGGATGGTACCCGTTCAGGGGACAAGCCAGGAACCACTTGTATGACAATGTGTTCCTAAAAGCAGAACTGATTGTGGCCAGCACACTTCCATGATCTCGGGAAAAAAAATAATAAAAAAAAATGAAAATAATTTTAAAAAGACACATTAAATGGGAGCAAATTTCCCAGCAACAAGGAAGAGCATTACTCCAGCCCAAGTTTGGAAGCACATCCCCCTTGAGCTGCCTCACGCAGGGAAGCAGGAGAAACACTGCAAACGCTACAGCTCACACAGAGAACATTTTACAACGCAGATGCCATGCCATGAGGTCAAGTACCTGCTTTTCTGGATGTTGTCTCGCACTGGCAAATGTGATAATTAGGATTTTTCTTTTTCTCCCTTTAAGAATACATACAGTAAAGCTGCTGATTTCGGGTCATAGCTGTCTGGTGAAGATGTGTACTAGGTGTACGAGAAAATGCATCCCTCAAGCTTCATGGCAATGACACCTTGTTTCACACGGCCTTAGAGGGGATTCCTATCTCAGTCACAACAACGGTTGCAATTCCTACTCATTAAGAAACAGGGGGCTGCTGATGGAAATATTCCATTTATTGTGAATGCGGTTTCAGAATACATTGTTTGAACAAATCATTTTTATTGCAGCTATCAAATGTATTTGAAAGACTCAGAAGAGTGTTTACAAAACCCCCAAACAAAAAACATGACAACTCATAGACAATGTCAGGCATAGTTTCACCCCCTACAGATAACTAAACGCATCTCTATGTAAACAAGATGTTTCAGCCAAGCAGGGAAGCTCATCTTTGGGTTCTTCTCTGTTAGGAAGAAGTCAGATGCTGTAAGAGATGGAAGTGGTGAAAGGGAGATCCCGCTAGTTTCGATGCACAACAAAGCTGTTAACAACACACTCGGGGGCTACTTCAGCTGCTCAGTTTATGCCATCCATACACTGTAGGATGTCGATGCTAAACTGTATGGCATGTACATTCAAACCAAGCTGACATCTTATAGCCACGTGTTTACTATATACAAATCAAAACATCTGTTAAGAAGATATTTGGGAGAGAGAGTTAAAAAGAAGCACTACAAAGATAGAGGTTTACTTCATTTAGGTGGACCTGGTGTACGGCACTGATGAATGGCAAGATCTAGTGTACAGTCATTTGAAACAAGCTCCAACTGTGCTTTGTTTTACTTTTTAATTATGGTAGTTATATATAAATTAAACTACAATGTTTTATACAAGTGACCTATTTTTGACCCTCTATACCCTTACCTTTTCCTCTTTTAAAAACTATAACTTTCTTTTTAATTACCCATTCCTGGGCAATTGACATTTAAATTTTTTAAAACTTATCTTGCCATACTTCTAATGGCAATTATGAAATCTTACTATAGGAAAGTGTGTGATTTTGTCGTTATCTTTTTAAAGCTGTGATATTGGCTAATTATGTATGTTTATTACTAAATATAATACTCTAGCATGTATTAAAGCATTCTACTGTTAGTAGTGCCTTTAGGCTAAACTTTGTGAAGCTATGTGTGTATATATTCTAAGTTGCAATCAATTACTAGTCACTAACAACAAAAAGAAATATCAGTACCGCTGTCAGCTAACATAATCATCCAAATTTATGCATTAACTTAAACTAGAATGGAAAAAATGATACTTTAAAAAAAAAAAGTATAAAACAAAAAATTAAACAAGTTATTGATGCAGTATTTCTCATGACATGGGCAACTTACAGAAAACATTACATTGTCAACTAGAGATACTTCTTCCATGCCTCAGTCTAAAGTGCAGAAGGAAAGACTTCTGTATTCCAAAAGTAACCATTGTTTTCATAGGTTTACTGCACACCTTTCTTGAGCAACTTCACTTTAAATGCATTTTGGGTTGACCTCTTACGCCAGCTGAAATCACTGTTCCGGTCCATAGTTACAACTGTCAGTAGGAGAGTCTGTATATTTCACAGCATGGGTTTCTTTAGGAATAAAGGTTCTTGTGCAAAGGCAGTACTATTATGATGAATGTCTAGATTGACTATTAAATATAGTGCTAATATACATGGTTTTAAATGGGATAATGCAAAAAGACATTTTTATGCAAATAAACATAAATATAAAAAGAACAATTTAGCACTTTTTCTTTCTTTTTTTTTCCCCCAACTGATTGGTCCAGCGTCTTTAGTAGCCTTCTACGGTTCTTTCTCAAACTGTCTCAAACCTGCTGAGAGAAAGAAAGATTAAAGATGGCCTGAAATAACCCGAATGTATCTCTGAAGTAGAGAGGGCATGTCTAGATTTACATGCAGCATAGCATGGCAGAAGGCAGGACATGACTGGGATGTTGCTGTGCTCGAGTATTGGGCTCTGTTAGAGATGATCTTCAAGAAGGCAAGCAGGTTTTCACTGGGATGCCTCCCTCATCTCCAGCAGCCCTGGGAAGCAGCCCAGGAGCTTCCCATCACAAAGGTAGTGCATGCTGCACCCAGCACATTACCTCTCCCAAGCCATGAGTGGGTGGCTACCATAAAAAGCTACAGTGCTGGGCACACACACTCTGAGTCCACAGTTAAACAGAAATCCAACTGTTGAAAGTCTTCTGCTGCTATTCTTCTGCTGAAGCCCTCATCTCAGCCTTAGAGAAGGGCTCAGCATTGCTGTTTCTCTCAGCTGGGTTGCTCCTGCAGGGCTTCAGTGGCACAGTCATAGGAACAGAGCTGCACCAACACTGAGCAAGCCTGAAAAAAACCCTCTGAACACTATAATTTGAAAAAGAAGGGAAGATGGAAGTCAATTCTATTTCTGTGCAGCTCCAGGGTGACAAAAATCATCCATAAGCACAGCACAGCTCTTGCTTCACAAATGAAGGTGAAGAAGAATGTGTAAAAAAGAAACATAGCAAAAGTTTTCTGCATTTGATCATTTCATTCCTAATGAAAAACAAACAAACAAACAAAACAAACAAGGGATATTGCCAGGTATCTTAATGCTATTAAACTGATCAGTAAATCTCCATTCTTCCCAAGAGGTCCTTAGGACATATATTTCCTCTCATTGGCTTTCTTTGGAGTGTCTTAGATTAAAATAAAAAATTAAAAGAGCACATACAAGCTAGGAGGAGAATTTCACTGACTTCTTGACCTACAGCTAAGTTGTTTCCTAGACCAGTAATTTCAACATGACAGTAGTAAGACTCTTTTTGTCTTGCAAAGACCAATGCACAGCTCCAGCAAAAGCAGTGACACTGCTGAGTGCATCTGAGCTTCATTCCCATCTGGATGTGCCTTGATGGGCAGATGGGACTTGTGACCAGCAAGGTGAATTTTCAAACACTAACACTGCAGAGTTTTCAACAAGCTTCATTACTGCCCAGTGGCAGTACATAAAATCAGATGCAGGGCTGGTTCTCAGCAGTGCTGAGATCTTCCATTTTTGCTCAAATGTTGCGGCCACAATAACTTTGCTTTTTGGGTTCTCCCTTTCCACTTATGAAAAGCATATCCATTCTCTCTGCAGCCTTTAAAAGAGCCTTTCCCAGATGCCCGGTATTTGCTGCAATTAGTTAAATGACCATCCCCTTCATCAGACCTCTCAGTTTAATGATGCTCTGCAGCTTTAGCAAACTTGATGCAATGTCACTCGCACAATACTTGCAAACATGGCTGAAGAACTTCTTGTCCTCAGCTCTCCCAGATGTTTCAGGCTTATTTCTCAAAATAGTACCCATATTTTGATGATACTGCAATGGAGTTTTTTTCCCCTTTTTTGGCAAAGGAAAAAAAAGGTGTTTTTTTTCATCAACGTTAACAGTTGTAGTGTTTTAAAAACCTGGAACTGTAGTGTCTGTACAAAAATGTGCCAACATTTTTTTTTTTCTTTTAATAAGCGGGTGAATTATTAGAATTACTTACCATTAGTCTCTGATTTTTTCCCCGTAGCTGTTACCTGTTCGAAAAAATAATAACCCCTTATTAAAGTTGAATGTGGGAAAATGTAGTTATATAAGGGGGAAAAAATCATCCCAATGCTAAGGGCATAGTTCCAAGCACAACTCAGTTCTTCCAAATCGAAATATAAAAGTTGCGTGCTACCTACAGCTCATGGTGCCTCACTGAACTGCATACACTTTTATAGATAAGAAGGTACATCAATAACACAAGACATGTAGAGGTCTAATTCTAACTGATTGATGGTATGGCTAACAGTGCCTCCCCCACCCCACAAAAAGCCTCACATAGAGATATCAATGTTTT